ACACGCCTGAACACATGGTCCCCATTCATCTCAAAGCAGCAATGATATACTGAGTCTTTTACATGATTTCAACCACTCTGACTTCCTCTTCTGCCAGCGGCCTGAGAAAGCTATTTGCTTTCCAAGGCTCGTGTGATCAGATGAGGCCCATCCTTATTTTAAGGTCTCCTGTGCCATATAACATAACATGATATGACAGTCTCATCACACTCACAGGCACCAGTGGTCACAGGGTGATACCTTCGAGGCTATTCCTAGAATTTCACCTACCACAACACCGTAGCACGAGGGTTCCATAAGGTAATTGATCAGGTTCTTTCACATTGAAAGCGTCAACCTATTGTCACCCTCTGACTCTGTGCTCTGGTGTGATCTCCTGGTTTTCCTTTGTTTGATTTCATTTCATTCCCTCCGTTGTCAGCAGATGCTGCCAGGCCAGAGCCTTCTCTCTCCTTCCTTAATCATCTAGTCTTCCTTTACCTCTCCCCTGACCCCCACAAAGCCAGAGTCAATTCCTTCCTCCCCTCCCTTCTACTTTACACTTTAGGTTTCAGCACCATTTGATGCTAAGCAGTTTTACATTCCTTATTTCTTCTTGCCCAAAAAGTCCTGTGAGTTAGACGTGATCATCCCCATTTTGCAGATTAGAAAACTGAGGCTCAGAGAGGTTAAATATCTAATCTGAGATGAAACAGGGAGTAAATGGCAGAGCTGCTGGCACTCCCGCAACCATGCCCTTTCCAGTTCTCACCAAGGTAGCATATGATCAGACTTGAGGGGACAGAAGGGAAGAGAGAGAAAACCCATTTCCCCTCACCTCAAGCTCCACCTTAAAATGAGATGAAAGTGAAGCTCCCTTAGTGATCCAGGCAGTCCCTGGACTGCTGGAGGTGCCTAAGGTCTGCATAGGTTGGCTGGGTGTGATGATTCAGCCAGGTAACAAAAGTCCTTTGGTGAAAAAAAAAAAAAAATGTTTGTAGTAATATTGTTTATAACTGGAAAAATAGAAACCACCTGAATGTTCATCAACAAGAAATGGTAATGTAATCATGAAATGGAATACTATGCAGCAATGAAGATGAATCAGAGTTATACATATCAGTGTACATGAATCTTACAAACATGTGCACAAAAAAGTTGTATAAGAGTATTTTTTTTTTTTTTTTTGAGATGGGGTCTCGCTCTGTCGCCCAGGCTGGAGTGCAGTGGTGCAATCTCAGATCTCAGCTCACTGCAAGCTCCGCCTGCCAGGTTCACACTATTCTGCTGCCTCAGCCTCCCGAGTAGCTGGGACTACAGGTGCCCACCACCACACCCAGCTAATCTTTTGTACTTTATTAGTAGAGATGAGGTTTCACCGTGTTAGCCAGGATGGTCTCGACCTCCTGACCTTGTGATCTGCCTGCCTCAGCCTCCCAAAGTGCTGGGATTACAGGCATGAGCCACCACGCCCGGCCAAGAGTATTTCTTATACCACTTGTATAAAGGTTTGTGAGTTGGTTTTTTTGTTTGTTTGTTTGTTTGTTTTTGAGACAGGGTCTCACTCTGTCACCCAGGCTGGAGTGCAGTGGCACAGTCATAGCTCACCGCAGCCTCCAACTTCTGGGCTGAAGTCATTCTCCTGTCTCAGCTTCCCTAGTAGCTGGAACTACAAGTGTGTACCGTCATGCTTGGCTAATTGGTTTTCATTTTTTGTAGAGATGGGAGTCTCACTGTGTTGCCCAGACTGGTCTTGAACTCTTTGTCTCAAGTAATCCTCCCACCTCAGCCTCCCAAAGTGCTGGCATTACAGGCATGCACCACTGCACCCAACCTTATAGAAGGTTTAAAATTGTCTAATATATATTGCTTGGGAATCATATGTACTAGTAGAATTACAAATAAATGCAAGAAAATAATAAACATGGAATTTATATGATGGTTACCTCTGGGATGGGTGGTATGAGAGGGTGATCAGAAAGAAGTACATCAGGGTGGCTGGGCGCAGTGGCTCACGCCTGTAATCCCAGCACTTTGGGAGGCCGAGGCAGGTGGATCACGAGGTCAGGAGATTGAGACCATCCTGGCTAACACGGTGAAACCTCGTCTCCACTAAAAATACAAAAAATTAGCCCGGCATGGTGACGGGCACCTGTAGTCCCAGCTACTCAGGAGGCTGAGGCAGGAGAATGGCGTGAACCCGGGAGGCGGAGCTGGCAGTGAGCTGAGATCGCCCCACTGCACTCCAGCCTGGGTGACAAAACGAGACTCCGTCTCAAAAAACAGAAGTAAATCAGGGGTTTTAACTGTCTAGGCAATCTTTTATTTCTTAAGCAAGCTGATGTCCATAGTATTGCTGTTTAAGGCTTTTTTGATATGTGAAATATTTCATAATTATTATTAAGCTAACAAGTAATAACCACCAGGAGTATTCTCATCACATAATATTAAGTGGAAAGAGAAGGAAACAAGATTGGATATCCACTATACTCCCAATTTTGTAAAAACAGAACAAATCAAGGGAAACTTAAATATAGATTTTTTTTTAAAGAGCAGCAGATAATAAACCAAAACTGTTAGAAGTCTGAGGATGATTTTTATTGACTTCTTTATACTTAAGGTAATTGATATCTGTATCAATCAATAAGGTAATTGATGAGGTTCTTTCAATTAATCTTATCTTATTTTCCAAAGGGTTTTTTTTTTTTTTTTTTTTTTTTTTTTTTTAGTCTCGCTGTCTCTCCCAGGCTAGAGTGCAGTGGCGCCATCTCAGCTCACTGTAGGCTCCGCCTCCCGGGTTCATGCCATTCTCCTGCCTCAGCCTCCCGAGTAGCTGGGACTATTTTCCAAAGTTTTTATAGTGAGTACTTACTGCTTTTGGAATCAAAATCAAATGCTGCTGTTTTTTTTAACATGTATGTATTGACCATAGACACCAGGGTATGGTAAGTTTTAGCCTGAAATCAAGAAAAAAAAATTATGGCCGGGCACAGTGACTTCTGGGGCTGGAATCCCAGCCCTTTGGGAGGCTGAGGCAGGCAGATCACCTGTCAGGAGTTCAAGATCAGCCTGACCAACATGGCGAAACCCCGTCTCTACTAAAAATACAAAAATTAGCCAGACATGGTGGCGCATGCCTGTAATTCCTACTAATCGGGAGGCTGAGACAGGAGAATTGCTTGAACCCAGGAGGCAGAGATTGCAGTGGGCCAAGATCATGCCACTGCACTTCAGCCTGGGTGACAGAGTGAGACTCTGTCTCGAAAAAAAAAAAAAATTATTTAAAGTCTACTACAGGCCACTCTTGTGCTAGACGTTAAAAGGGGACTGTTCACACCAAATGGGAGTCTGACATACCCAAGTTCAAGTCCCAGCTCCACCCCTTTCCAGCAACTGACTTGAGTCTCGATTTTCTTATCTGTAAAATGGTGATTAAGATACTTTCCCTGGTTGCCTCATGAGGCCAGTGTGGGGGTAAAATGAGATGAGGGCTACAGAATGGCTTCGTGATGCACGGGCGGCCTTCTGCAGAGGCTCAGCAGCTACTACAGGACAGACCAGGCAGGAGACATCAAGAGGGCAAGGCTGGGTTCCTTCGGTGCCCACAGTGTAAGAGGACAGACAGTGCCGTCCACGGACAGCCAAGGAGAGGGGGTCAGGATGGCCCCGGCTAGGAATGGTCCACTTGGAAGGAAGTGATGTTATTAGTACATAACTAGGAGGGATAACCTTTGGCCTCAAGCAATGCAAAATGTGCTTCTAGAAACTGAGAAAACACTCTAAAAAAATGCATGAACAACATGAAAGGGGGAAAGCAAAGCTCATACCTGAGTCCTGGCTTCCTGGCTCTCTGGTTAAGTGATGGTGGCTGTGGGAGGTACACAATCCTCCCAGCCCAACTGTCTCACTTGTGTCGGAGGGAGAAGCGTGCACGCCTCCTAGGTCTTGCTAAGAGGCCTGATTGAAGGACAGATTCAGTATCGAGCACCTTCCCTGGATCAGGCCGTGTTCTAGGAGCTGGGGGTGCAGCAGGGAACCCACCAGGCAAGGATGCTGTCCTCAAGTGTGGCTCCCTAAGGGAGGTGACGCAGAGCAGTTGCTCATCACGGAGCCTACGTGGTGCAGTCAATAAATGCTTGTGCCAGAGGCAGGCATGGCCACTACTATTAAGCAGCCTCGTATGGTGGCTGCTAGGGAGACTTAGGGGAAGTAGTGAAAGTTTTCAGGTGGTTGAAGTGTTATTTGAAAGAATAATGGGCCTGGTGCAGTAACTCACGCCTGTAATCCCAGCACTTTGGGAGGCCAAGGCGGGTGAAACGCTTGAGGTCAGGAGTTCGAGACCAGCCTGGCCAACATGGTAAAACCACATCTCTACTAAAAATACAAAAATTAGCCGGGCATGATGGCAGGTACCTGTAATCCAAGTTACTTGGGAGGCTGAGGCAGGTGAATCGCTTAAACCCTGGAGGCGGAGGTTGCAGTGAGCCGAGATCGCACCATTGCACTCCAGCCTGGGCAACAAGAGCAAGACTTCATCTCAAAAAAAAAAAAAAAAGAATAATGTAAGACAGGACTATGCTAGGAATCATTAAGCTGCCATTCACTGAGTGCCACACATGTAATAACTCAATCCTCACAGCATCCCCATGGGATACTGTTATTATGATCTTCATTTAACAAATGAGGAAACAGAGGCACGGGTCAGTGCAGTGACTTGCCTGAAGTTGCATAGCAGTAAAGCCAAGATTGGAAACCAGTCGGTTTGTCCTGCTCCCTTGTCTCTGCAGCTTGGTGGGTGCCCCAGACAAGCTGGTCTTAAGAGCTCAGAGCTTCCTTTGGAAGCCAAAAGCGCTGACACTGAGAGTGTCTGGTCCATGGCAGGGTGACCATCTGTCAAAGCATTCTTATGGGGATTTCCGACCATATCAGATGAATGGATCTTTCTGTGGAACAAACAGCACCCAGAGCCTTGGTGGCAATGCTCTGAGATGCTAAGAGTGACTTCTTCTTGTCTCTTTCAGGTCACAGCCCCACATTTCCCGGTGGTGGTCAAGCTGGGACATGCCCACGCTGGAATGGGAAAGGTATGAGAAACAGCCCTTCTACTCACAGTGGACACACCTAGAGATTCCCCAGACTACCTGTTCCTCTCTCCCTCTGTCCCCCATCAACCCCTTAGCACAGGCACCCAGAACAGAGTGTTAAAAAGAATCCACAGTACATCTCCCTCCCCTCCCAGCCCACCTTCCTCAGAGCTCCTGGTGCACAGAACATCTCTCCAGTTCGGTCCATCCTTGCCAAACCCTACCTGGAATTGCTAACTAATCATTCTCTATGATTGCGACTCGAGAAAGGGATGTAGAGCATTTTATTGACTGTAATTCTTTTGTGAGGGCTTGCTGCCGTCATCTCCACAGCCTTGTTGTAAGCCCGTGTCTTACTTACCTCTTTATTACTGTATTAGTCTGTTCTCACTCTGCTATAAAGAAATACCTGAAACTGGGTAATTTTAAAGAAAAGAGGTTTAATTGGCTCATGGTTTCACAGGCTGTACAGGAAGCATGGCTGGGGAGGCCTCAGGAAACTTACAATTGTGGCAGAAGGTAAAAGGGAAGCAGGCCTGTCTTACACGGCTGGAGCCGAAGGAAGAGAGAGAAGGGGGAGGTGCTACACATTTTATTTTGTTTTTGAGACAGAGCCTCACTCTGTCACCCAGGCTGGAGTGCAGTAGCTTGATCTCGGCTCACTGCAACCTCCACCTACCAGGTTAAAGTGATTCTCATGCCTCAGCCTCCCGAGTAGCTGGGACTACAGGTGCGTGCCACCACGCCCGGCTAATTTTTGTATTTTTAGTAGAGACTGGGTTTCACCATGTTGGCCAGGTTGGTCTCAAACTCCTGACCTCAAGTGATCCACCTGTCATGGCCTCCCAAAGTGTTGGGATTACAGGCCTAAGCTACCACACCCGGTCACACACTGTTTAAAAGTGCTACACACTTTTGAACAACCAGATCTCATAAGAACTCACTGTTACAAGAACAGCAAGGGGAAAATCCGCCCCCATGATCTAATCACCTCCCAACAGGCCCCTCTTCCAACAATGGGGATTATAATTTGACATGAGATTTGCGTGGGAAGCCAAATCCAAACCATATCAATCACTGTAGGACTGACACCTAGAAAATGACAAACACATCTGGCTCCATGGAAGAAGCCCCCAGAGTCAGTTAACTGCAAAAGTCAATAATATACTATATTTCACACAGTCACACATAACATCCTGGCGAACTGTATTGGTCAGACTGTTTCAGTTGCAAGTGCCAAAACGTTCAAGATATTAGGATGTCTGAGATAGTTCTTGGTAGATTCGAGCAGAGCTGGATCCAGGAGTTCAAATGAAATAGAGCCTGATCTCCCTCTTTATCTCTTGGTTCTGTTCATCTCTACTTGGCGTTTTCTTCAGATGGTCTAAATGGCTGTGAGCTACCCAACCTGGTCCCTAAGCTCACAATCTCTAAAGGATAAAGACCCTCTTTTTGTCCAGCACCTCTATATCTAATCCCATGGAACCTTGTTTGGATCAATGTGCTTGGCCTCAACAATGGGATGTGGAGATGGTTTAGCCCCAGTCAAACCATATGCATCAGAGTCCCACAGGAAAGGGGGCACTAGGTCTCCCACAGTTTGCATCTCAAACCTCTGGCTCAGAAGCAAGTGGGAACATGTAGATCTCAGTACCTGTCACTCACACTGGAGGGGACTTGAGCCCAGACACAATGCCTAACACAGTGGATCCTAGATAAAGTACAGCTGGAGCTAAACAATGTGGGGCCAAGTAGACACCTTGCTTTGAATAGGCCCACCCAGACATGAATAATTCTTCATCTCACACCTATAGTTGTCCCCACCCTGTTATGCTTTCTGTATGCCTAAACTCCATTCCCTTCAGGCAGTCTAAAAAGGAATGGGTCAGCCGGGCATGGTGGCTCACGCCCGTAATCCCAGAACTTTGGGAGGCCAAAGAGGGCGGATCACCTGATGTCAGGAGTTAGAGACCAGCCTGACCAACATGGAAAAACCCTGTCTCTACTAAAAATGCAAAAATTAGCCAGGCATGTTGGCACATGCCTGTAATCCCAGCTACTCGGGAAGCTGCAGCAGGAGAATCTCTCGAACCCGGGAGGCGGAGGTTGTGGTGAGCCGAGATCATGCCATTCATTGCACTCCAGCCTGAGCAACAAGGGTGAAACTCCATCTCAAAAAAAAAAAAAAAAAAAAAAGGGGGGGAAATGGATCCGGCAGGTCAGGGCATGGCCCACAGCTTGGACATCTGCATAAACTTGAGCGAGTTACCATCTAACTTCTCCTGTTTCCCTCATCAGTCAAACGATAATTCTAATAACTACCTTTTAAAAAGAGTCCTCCCTTCAGAATATATCTCTCTAGAAAGTGCACAACTTGAGGGCAGGATGTTCTGCCTGTTTTTCCACTGCTGCATCCCAGGGCCCTGAGTGGCACCCGGTACACAGGAGCCCCCCTGTCCTACTTCTTGCTTGGGTGGATGAATGAACGAACCTCTCTTTAGCCATCATGCTATGTCTGCCCAATTTCCTCGCCTCCCACTCCCTCTTCCACCCCTGCATATGGCTCCAACCCCCTTCACTCCACTAAAGCTGTCCTCTCAGTGGTCTCCAGTGGTCCTCTGTTGCTAATTCAGTGGGCACTTTTCTGTCCTTATTGGAATCCCCCTCTCTATCATTTAATGTGGCTGGCCATCCTTCTGTCCCAAACTCTCTTTATAGTGGCCTCTGGTGCATGCTCCTTTTCTGGCTTTCCTCCTTTCTGTCTCTGGCCACTCCTTCTTCATCTCCTTCAAGAAGTTTTCTTCTTGCGTCATCCCTAACCATGGCTATTCCATCTGCACACCATCCCTGAGTGCTCTTGTCAACTACCTCAGCTTCAGCTGCCATCTGCATGCCAACAGACTCCCGAGCTGCCTTTTTCCTCCCCAGAGCATTAGGCTCTTATATCCAGTTATCTCCCCTATGTCTCTATTTTGTCTCCCATGGAAACCTCAGACTCTAAACATCCCAGACCAGGCTCAGCATCTTCCCAGACACCCTCGCCTCCCTCCTTCTCCTCCTCTTCCTCCTCTGCTTCCTCCTGTGACCTCCATCTCTGCAGCAGGAACCACCAGTCATTCGGTTGCCTCAAAACAGAAATCTGGGAGTCATCTCCCCCTCCTCCATATCCAAATGGTCTCCACGTCTTGTCAATTGCCCCTTGTTAATGTTTCTCTGACCTGTATCTTTCTCTCCACCCACTGCCACCATCTTGGACAGCTCTGGTAAAGTCAAAGCATTCCCAAGAATTAAACTCTGTGCCTAAAGCTTAAAATAATCCCCAAATGACATAAAAAGAAGGAAATACTTAAAGAGATGAGAAACTCAGGTCCAGAAGGGCCTCCCAAAACACGGAAAGGAGGGGGCACTCCAAGGATTAAAAAAAAAATGACACAGACCAGAATAAACTGAGGTTTGCAAAAATGCTGAGATCAAGGGAAAAGAGCTTTTCTCCTTATGTTTGGAATGAGAAAACTTGCAGGAGCAGTCTAGACCAAGTTGACGAAGCAAATGATGTCATGTTCATAGCTGAGAGAGAGAAAAACAAAGCTGGTACCTCCTGTGGTACATTTACCATCTCTCGAGAGTGACGATTGTCCTCCTGGAGACAAGCAAAGAGAACATTCCTAGAAGAAAGTTGGTAAGGAGGCTGTCAATGAGCTCAGTGTTGCTTGAAATCTACCCAGGCCCCCATGGATGGAATTGCTGGCCTATCCCAAACTATACTATTGTTCTTTTATACTTGTGGCGCCTACTCTATGCTGAGAATCAGAAAATCAATAGGACCCAGTCCCTGTCCTCAAGGAATTGGAGAGATAGTCGCATAAATATGCATAATGTGTTGTTGGGGCCTGGTAGAAGGCTGTGCAGAGGGTATGAGGCTTAGAGGAAAGAACTTAATCCAACCTAGATGGAAAAGGCATCCTAGGAGAATTGAGGCTTGATTTAGAAGGACAAGTGCATGGCCTTCATTGGTGCTGGTGATTAAGAACATGCCCAGGAAAGGAGAAAACTCAACTAGAAAGAGGAAACCTGGCATCAGGGAAACTGCTTGCGGTTGGGTGTGCCTGGAGATTTAAGAAATCCTAACAAACAAAAAAGACTAGAAGACAAGAGATGGAACAATTACCCTCTTGTATTAAAATAAAAAAAAATAGTGGACATCATGAGAAACAGAAATCAAAATATAGTGAAACTCTCATGCCATTCTGGGAGTGCTTAGACAGTGGTCCATATTCATGGGGCTACCATAAGTTCCTTAGAAGTCAGTCAGGTTAGACAAGCGGTTGAGAGAAAAATGATCTGCTCCCGGGCGGGAGGCATTTGGACGTGTCTGGAGGAAATTTTATTTGTTAGAACTTGGGGATGGTGAGGGTGTAGTACTGATATCTACCAGGTAGAAGCCAGGGGTGCTGTAAACATTCACAGTACATAAGACAGCTTCCCACAACAAAGAATGGTACTGCCCCAAAATGTCAATACAGTCGATCCCACTTATCTGCTGGCGATACATTCCAAGACCCCCAGTGGATTCCTGAAACCACAGATAGTTCTGAATATCCTGTTTATTCCTCTACATGCCTATGATAAAGTTTAATTTATAAACTAGGCACAGTGCTCTTGAACTTTGGGGCCACTATGAAGTAAAATAACAGTTACTTGAACATTCCGTGACAATGGATCCGGTAACTGAGATGGCTCCTACGTGCCTAACGGGTGGGTGGCATATACAGCACGGACGTGCCGGACACAGCGATGATTCATGTCCCAGGCAGAATGGAGCTGGGTGGTACAAGATTTCATCACGCTACTCAGGATGGTGCGCACTTTAAAACGTCGGAATTGTTTATTTCTGGAATGTTCCATTTAATGTATTTGGACCGCAGTTGACCGTGGGTAACCGAAACCACAGATAAGAAGGGACTACTGGAGTATCAAGATTGAGAAACATTGGACAAAAC